CCCCGCCACCTTCCCCTCTGAGGTCCTTCATAGTCTCTCCCGTCCGCCGCTATACAGTGTGCTGTGCTGTACTGCAGTGCTGCCCGCAGTGCCGGGGGCGGCTGAGGGGCGGCTCGGGGGCGGCTCGAAGCGCTATTGGCTCTTGTGTTTGCGGCGTGCAGCGCGGCGTATGTAGTACAGAGCACGCTCTCGTACTCGTACATATGCCAGGTGGATTACTCACGACGCGCAGTTTCGTAGTTGTACTGACTGTAGTACCGCATGCACGAGTGCGAGTGGGTTTGCCTATCCTTGCTGCCCAAGGCTCCCTATGGACCGGTAGCTCTAGTTCTGTGTTCTGTGTGCATTGTGCATATTATGCGATGCTCGTCATTCGATCGGAACAACCTTCCTCTTGCAAACGCCGCAATTGTCCACCACATAATGGGAAACATCGGGGGGAGGAGAAGCCAATTGGCTCAAACCCTTGCGGCGACACCACCATATGAGGACGCGACGATGCGTTTGTCTGTGTTGCATCTTTCCTTTCTTCTCTCGTTCCCATTTCTCGCTCATTTTTCATCTCTTGAACCGGAGTCGAAAGCTGCTGGTCCAGCGCATGGCAGGACGGAGAGGGGTGGGGGAGTGGAAGTCCTCTCCAGACGAGCCAGCGGCAGTGACTCGAGTCGTCGAGTCGTTGTCGGGGCGCTCAAATTACTTGGAAACACTCCACTTCACTGGCAGCAGCAGCGCGTCCTTTAATTTTCACGTTGTTATCGGCTGAGTGAGTTCGAGAGAGCCGTTCATAAATTAAACAGGCCCTGTTGACCCCCCACCCGCCCCCCTCACTGCCGGAGCCATTTTCGCCTTGCTCTTCCTCCACCCGCTAGAACTCGTTGTCCCCGTTTGTTGGCTCGACTGGGGTTGACAGGGGGCTCCAGTTTTGCGTCTGGCCGCGTAAGTGCGGGCTTGAGGGGGGGGGGGTGAAGGCTCGCGGGGTGAGCCGGTAGACGAGGTAGAAAAGTGCCTGCCCGCGCCGCACAGCCAGCCCTCACGTCAGCTCTCTCACCCCCGTGTCTGCTGCCGCCCCCATCTCTCTCGCACTCGCGTCATGGAGCCCGCCAGTCCGCCGCCGCCGCCGTGCAGCCGAGAGGGTTTCACCAAATAAAAGTTCGGACGTCGGCGACACAGCGATTTAGCTCCGCGTCTTGTCTCCTTTTCATTTCGTTTTTTCAGCCGCTCCCAGCCTCCCTCCTGCCGCTCCCCCCTCAAGCATCAGCAGCAGCTTCGGCGGCAGCAGGGTGAGGGTCCGGAGGGGGGAGCCCGGCGAGCAGGTCCGTGCATGCTGGTGCAGGCCGTGCAGCCCGGCCCGGAGGTCGACGGCCGCGAGCTGGGCCTCGCCAGGCTCGGGCTCCGCCTCATGAGGCAGGCCGGGCGGCACAGATTTGGTCGCGGTGCCCTGGCCTGGCAGCCCTGGCGGCACCGGCCGGCGGTATGGATTCTAGAGCACCTCATTGTTTCTGCTGACTGCAAGCGCACACAGACCGACCTAGATCGGTTGGTGGGCGCGCCGCTGCCGCGCAGTGCAGTGCTGTGTTGCTCGCTCCAGGCTCATTGAGGCCTGTTCTCTTTTCCGTTCTTTTTCACTGCTCATGGAAGGCCCCCCCCTCCTTCTCTCTCTCTCTCTCTAAACCCAGCCAACAACTGCCTGCTCACGCACTCGATTTTTATGACTGACGTTTTCTCGACACGGGGCTCGGGTTGCTTGGCTGCTTTCGGACGGCCCCCGCTCGCCCCGCACACACGTGGATCCCCCTTCCGGTGCAGCAGGCCGGAGACTCGCCCTGCTGGGGCTTCACCCGGGACCGGGGGTGCACGCCAGAGGCACATCCACCGCAGCGTACTCGGAGGAGCAGCCCTCGTCCCCGGGGAGTTTCTGCCAACTGCCCCTTTTTGCCATTTGGGCTTGCTTGTTGGGCTGGGCTGCGGGCATCGGGCCGGATGGGCCGCCCCAAAGTGCCCCGTGCGGAACCGCCCAACCGGTCGGATGATGATTCGTCACCCGGCTTGCGTCTATTTCTGGCCGCTGATTGCCCGAGGGCTCCGAAGACGTGGGGTAGCGGAAGCAGCCTGCAGCCCGGTCAGCCTGCACACCGCGTGCACGCGTGCGGGCGGGTTGCCTACTCGCCCGGGCCCTACGGCGCCCTGGTCACAGACATGCACCCGTGCGTGCGGCACTGGACCAGGTGCAACTGCGTATGCGTACAAGGCAAGACGGCCACCTAGTAATCAATATTTCTTGAGGAAGCTCAAACAGTAACCAAAAAATTCTTGACAAAATACACAACAATCATTCAATTAAAAATGCAAAATTAAAAAAAAATTGTTTTAAACTGGACTAACTTCTCTTGGAAAATGTTCAGTTTTTCATCTGTTGTACTGTCTTCCGCCGCCGTGCCCGCCCGCCCGCCCGCCTCCCCGGTTTGGTTCCGGAAGTGATTCATGCGTCGGTGGAGGGGGGCGTGGAGGAATCAGTGGCGTTGCGCCGAGAGAGTGTGGCGAGAGAGAGAGAGACGGGTCTCTCGCTCCCTCTCGCTAGAGCCCCTGGCTGCGCGGAGGCGTCTCGTGTCGCCCAACATGGCCGCACGCAGCGTGTTTTATGCATTTGTTGCATGCAGATGCCTCGCAGTTTATCCTTCGCCTGGCGTACGTGCCAAAGGATCGAGGACGGCGCGGCGCGCTCGCCTCGCTCTGTCCGGTCGATTTCGAGAGTACAGTATCGAGCCAAGCTTTGGAGGACCGTACATATACTGCATCGACTTTTATTATTTGCCGTGGGTTTCTCCTTGTCTGACGGTCCCGTAGTGCAACTCTCAGTCCAAAAAGCAAAAAGTCCAAACAAGGTGCTGCCCTCCTCTCTCCCTCAAAAGTAAAAGTGACGTCATTTGTGCACGACCCCCAAGCACCGAAGCCAAGTTTAGGCGCTACAGCTTTGAAGAGCGGAAATTCTTCGACTGCGTCTTATCGCAATTGCGTGATTGTGGTTGTCTTTGTCATTGGCAGAGTGTAGCATGGACGTGTTTGGTGGTGTTGCCGCTGATGATGACTCTTGCTCTTGTTCTGTGTTGCAGGAGAAGAACTCGTTCCAGAATTACAACGTGTCTTGCATCCTGACGCTGCCGCCGTACCAGCGCCAAGGCTTCGGCCGCCTCCTCATCGACTTCAGTAAGTTTTCAAGGGGCTAAGGTTGGATATTGGAAGTGGGAGTAGTAATCAGATCATGGACGTAACTTGTACTTCGGGACGAAAGCCAGGGAGGCAGGGAGGCGCTGCCGCGGTATGGTGGTCTTGCTGCCTTTAGAAGGTAATTTGTTGACCGGCCCCGCCCGGCCAGTGCGCGGCCTCCGCGCTTCGGGTCGGTCGTCCATCTATGGGTGACCACTGTTATAAGGAGGACTGTCGAGGCAGTCCGGTTCAAGTCGCTCGCGATGACGTCATCCAGGGACGACCCCCACACACCGCGCCATTGGCGGCGGCGGTGCTGCCCTGCGGCAGGGCGCGGCTGGGGCTGGGCCGGGGCTGGGCCGGGGCTGGGCCGGGGCGCTGTGCTCCAGAGGTCGATGACCCGCAGCTGAGCATCGAACGCGCCACCCCGCCCTCCCCGTGCCACCCCCGCCACCCCGCGCCCCCGCGGCCAACCCCTGCCCCCGGCTTTCCCCCCTTTCGCTGCTGACTCGCGGCGGCGTGGCGCGCTGCTCCCTTATACGGGGCGGGCACCCTGTCCTTATTGTGTGTGAGAGTGAGAGAACGAGAGAGAAAGACAGAGAGAGGGGAAGAGAGAGAGAGAGAGACAGAGAGAGGGGAGCGGCGGGGAGCTACAGAGAAGAGAGGGGGATAGAGAGGGGGAGTGGACGTCGCGCCACCGGCCGACACCGACCTACCCCAACACGGCAGCCCGCCCCTCCGGACGCAGAGGGGTGAGGGGTGAGGGGGGGGGTGAGCGGGGCTGAGGCCCTTAGCGTGGGTACGGCGAAGGGCCGAGCCAGGCAGATAGACAGGTCACTGCAGTGGGGATGGGCCACATAGTGCTCTTGTTGGTGTGTTAGCTCGCAAACGACCGTTTTATCGGTTTCATCTGTCAAACCGGAGGGTTTGAATGGGATTTGCAGTTTGGCGGCCGGGGAGCGCCTCGCCGTCCACCCCGCAGCAGCAGCACAACATGCATGTGGCACTACGGCATGTGGCCGTCTGCGCGAGGGGAGGCGGGGTGCTCGGGTCGGGGTTGGGGAGAGAGATACAGGGTGATTATCGAACCCCCGCAGTGCCGGTGCCAGTGCCGGCTCGTTGCAGGCCCCGCCGCGCCCTCGCCCGCCTCGCCCGCGCCGCCGCGCCGCTCTCCCCCTGGCGACGTGCCCGTCCCACCCTGGGTCCCGCCCCCATGGCAACCCTCCTACGGCCAGGGCGACGCGAGGGGCGGGCGACGGACTCGCCGTTCCGTTACATACCTCGCGACTTTGTGCCATTTGTTTCCGCTTCCGGGGTAAACTTTGTCTAGGAAATGGTGTGGCGATAACCCGCATGTACTGCTGCCGCAGTGTGCTGTTCTCGGCGCTGCACTGTATTTCACGTGCACTGCGCAGCGACACACGGCACGGCCGCAGTCTCGTTATTATTTCCAGGCGAGTGAGTTCGGTGGTGGTGGTCGCCGGCTGGGTTGGCTGGTTTGTCTTGCCGTTTGCAGCGTTATTTGCACGGCGGGATGCAGTGCGCTGGCGAATGTGTGGCCAGGAGGAAGGGGGAAGGGGGTTACGCCGCACTGCGCAAGGCGGGGGGTTTTGGCCTAGGTCGGGTCTGCCGTGGAAGGGGGCACGGGCGGGTAGCGGTAGCACGGCGTTAGGGCCCCCCGAGATGCTACCGCACTACGTACAAACACGACGTGCTCCTTGGAGTGCGGGAGGAGACCGTGTCTGCTGCAGACTGCCCCCTCTCTGTCTCCCTCCTGCTCTTCCTTCATCCTCTCACCCTCCTCGTCCTATTTCGGAGGGGGTCGACTTGAAGAATAAAACAAAAATAGATTTCTTCTCCCCTCTCGCCGCCGCCCCCCGCGCGCCTCCTAGTGACAGGCTGACGTCACCGCCAGACGCGCGCCTCTGATTGGCCGGGAGGCGATCCACTTGGACACGATAGGGGCGCGCGGACCGCAAGCAGGGCCGGGCCGGGGTGACAATTAATGGAAATGGCCGCCGTGGTCCTGGCCACGCTGGGGGTCGGCCTGGCGGCCTGGAGACTCCATCTCGCTCCCTCTCTCCCTCTCTCTCTTGCTCCCTGGGCGGTGAGCGCGGAGGGGCTGCTGACCCCGGCCGTTCCTCCTCGCGCCGCGGTGCCGCCCGCGCCCCCCAACCCTTCCCTACGTATGCGATATGAGAGTGTGGCGGACCCTGGCGGCGCCGCCGTGGTCCTCCTCGGGTCCTCCTTGCCCCCGGGGGTGCGCGGGGCAAGGCCGCGGCGGCGGCGATGAGGTACGGGAGGCCGCCGGCCGGGCGGGCGGGTGTCAGCGAGGTGGCGCCGCCTCCGCCATATGCCTCCGCGCTCTAAATAGATCGCGCTCGACGGCGGCATTGTGCACGCGGCGCGCCGCGGACCCAACTTAGATCCCGTGCGGGATCTCATTGGGGTTGGGGGCCTCTGTCGCGGGCCGGGCCGGGCCGGGCCGGGCGGGCCGGTGAGGTGCGCTGCGCCCCAACGAGCAACCCCATGCCTTCTCGCCGCCGGCGCCCTCAGCAGGGCTGAGCAGGGCTGAGCAGCTGGGCCGCGCGGGGCCGGGCCGCGACGCGCCGTCCTCGGCCCTACTGCTGCTGCTGCTCCCCCTCGCCGTCTAGCCAAATCGATCGGCCGACGCCTGGGCCGGGCGCCCGGCCCGCGGCTGCTGGGACTGATTCAGCCAGCCAACCCCTCGGGCCGTCGCCCCGCCCCGCCCCGCCCCGCCCC